AGCAACTGTTTCAAGGAGGCGAACCCCTCCCCGCACATGGAGCCGTCGATCGTCGTCAAGTGGCATATGTAGTCGTTCGCGTCGTCGCCCTCCTCCTCCTCTCCACGTAGAAACTCCTGAACGAAACCTGGGGGAGGAACAGCGCGAGAAAAGGCCTGTGCCCTGAGGGCCGTGAAATCGAGATCGACCCAGCTCGCGAACTCGCCGTCGTAAAACAAAATCAAAGGCGTGGGTATCCCGAAAGGACGCGTTCCTGGAATGCCTCCGTCCGAAGCCTCGTGAGTGTGTCTCAGATCCTCCAACACCTGGACGGCCCACGGGTTCGCCTCCGAGGTCAGCTCCCAGGAGGCCGAGATCACGCGTTGCTGGCCCAAACGCCCCAAGAAACTCGCTCGCACCTGAATGTGGGCCCGGGATGCCGACACCAATCCTGGTACCACTTAAGACGGCGTACTCGTAGTTCGGAGGCGCGAAGCAGCGGGGGAGGGGACGGGAGCCCGAGGACAGGGGAGGGAGGTGGAGATGGAGGGTGGCTCAAGGGGAAGAGAGGGGCGCAGGACAGAGAGGAGGAGCAGCAAAAGGACAAGGAGGGAGCAACAGCAGGAGAGAAGCGATGAGGCCCCCCCCCGTCCCTTCGTCAGCCTTCCTCAGCCCTCCTCCCTCCCCTCCCTCCCCTCCCTCCCCTCCCCCCTTCACTTCCCTCCCTGCTCTCCCCCGTTCTTCCCTTCCTCTCCTCCCTTGTCCCCTCCCTCCCCCCACCCCCGACTTCTCCGCCCCCTCCCTCCCTCCGACTCCTCCCTCTCCCCCTCTCCCCATCATTCCTCCCTCCTCCGCCCCGTTGGCCTCCGCGGTCCCCGCGCTCGCGGTCTCCGCGCTCGCGGTCTCCGCGCTCGCGGTCCCCTCGGTCTCCGCGGTCGCCCCGCCTGGGGTTTGCGGGGGGGGGGGCCTGGGACGTGCGGGCGGCCGTCGGTAAACCTTGCCGCCGTGCGCGCTCGTCCTGAACAAACGCCGAAATTTCACTTATGGAGGGCGGCCGCTGTCAAATACGGTTCCCGCCCTGGCACCTTTATAAACGTTTGCAAGGGGTTCACGGATGGAGGGCGTGTCGTTGTCAAAACGTGGCTGTCGCCTTGGTGCGGCGCACGCTCGTTGAAAAGCTCACAAGAGCTTCGCCGATGGATGTTTCATGTGGCTATCGCTGTTACACGCGTCGTAAACAAACTGCAAGAATTTCAAAGATGGAAGGCGGCTCCTTCCTTTTTTCAAAATGTAGCTCTCATCTAAGCTCCGCGCACATTCGTTTTCCGCCGGACCCCTGCTTGCTGGGGGTGAGAAGGCGTGTGACATGATTGGCTGTCTCCCTTCCACTTTTCCTCTCCCCCAAGGTCCAACATCCAGCTTAAAAGGGGTGGGGTGGGGGGGGAGTGGGGGATGGGGCGGTATATGGGTTCCTCGGTGCACCCCTGGAGACTCCAGAGCTTCGAAATCTGCCTTCCGTGACCTCAAAGACGTTCCAAGACAGTCCCGAACCGCGAAACGATCGGCCCAAGACGCCTACATGGCTCCAAGAGGGCCCCCGGCAAGAAATTCCGACGCCCCATGCGGCTCAAGAAGCCCCGCAGACCGCCCCGAAACTACCCAAGAGGCCCCTTTTTACGAGGGCCCCAGGACTGCTCAAGAGTTCCAAGACGGCCCAAAGATGGGCCCCAAACGCTCAAAGATCGCCTCATGAGGGTCCCGTGAGAGGCAAATACGGAGAACACGAACCAAAAATCATATCTTTCCGCCCCAAGGAGCCCCCCGAAGGCCCCAAGAAACCACCAAGCGGCCCAAAAGAGGCCCCTTAATAAGCCCCAAAAGGCCCCAAAGAGACCCCAAGGCTGCCCCAAACACGCTTCAAAACTGCCTACAAGAGGCTCCGCCAGGCCCCCTACCAGCTCCAAAGACGCCCACCAAAATCCCCACATCGTGCCCAAGAAACCCACGACGCCTCAACCGTGGACTCCACGCCTCTTCTGGCGGTCGGCGGAATGGCGTAAACCTCTTGAATCCACGTCCGGAAATGCCGTGCTGAACGGCAACGTTTTCCGGCGAACGCCCTAATGCAACGTATCCGTTGTATCCGATAGTTGTATATTTGCTACATGTTGTATTGTATTACATTATTACGTATCCCCTTCTAACCGCCCCTTGGAGTCTCGCCGTTCCGCCGACCCAAGGTGTACCCCCCCGTCCCGTGCTCTTAAACGCATTATATCTATATGCACATATATCTATACACATGCACGCATAGACATATATGTATATCTGTATGTATGTATGTATGTGCGTATATATATATATGTTTACAACTGTAATTACACCCATATAATATCATCTCTCTATACATATACGCAAGGTGCATACATATATTGCGAAGGCCTTACGGCCGTTGCCGCCGACCCTGAAGACGACGAAAGACAACACGAGGGGGGGGGGCACGAGGAGGAGGAGGAGGACGCGGAATGGAGTAGGAGGAGGAAGGGTGAAGGGGGAGGAGGAGGAGGCCTTATTGATGTTGGTTGGGATCTCGTGGTTGACCTCTCGGGGGCGTCTGGAAGGCAACTTGAAGCCTATTGGGGGCCGTTGTGGGGCCTCTTCGGGCCTCTTTTGGGCCTCTTGGGGCTTCCGGAGGCCGTCTTCGGCGCATCTTGGGGGCGTCTTGGCGCCGCTTGGGGGCCTCTTGGGGCCTTTTGGGGGCCTCTTGGGGCTTCCCGGGGGCCTCTTAGGGCGGAAGTCTCGAATTCTCGGTTCCTCGTCCCCCTCTTGGCCGTTTCTTGGGCCCGTCTTGGGGCCCTATTGGGCCGTCTTGGGCGCCTCTTGGGCTGTCCTGGGGCCTTCTTGGGCCGTCTTGGGGCCCTCTTGTAGGCCTCTTGGTGCGCTCTTGGGGGCCTCTTGGGGGCCTCTTGGGCCGTCTTGGAGTGTCGGAAAGCCGAAAAGGCGAGAAGGCCAAAATCATTCAAAAACCTATGTAAAATTGACGATTTTGGCTCCTGGGGCCCTCTTGGGAGTGCTCTTGGGGCTCTCTTGGAGCGTCTTGAGGGCCTCTTGGGCCGTCTTCGGGCCGTGCTGGGCGTCTTAGGGCGATCGTTCGTCGAGTCGAGGCCCTCTTGTACCCTTTTGGGGGTGTCTTCTGGCGCTCTAGGCTCGTCTTGAAGCTTTTCTGAGCTCCGGGACCCCCCGGGGAGGATGCGTATCTGGGTGGCGACCCCCCCGGCGACCCCCCCCCCCACCCCCCACCCCCCCCCGGCGGGGAGGGTAGGGAGGGGCTTCGCCACGACTCAACTACGACGTTGCTCAATGTCGCTTTGGCTCGCGCGCTCAAGGAGAAGGGGAACGACGAAGACGACGAGGGACAACGGAGACGGAAACGACGAGGACACGACGGAGACGACGACGACGACGACGACGACGACGACGACGACGACGACGGTGATCCACGCAAGACGACGACACCGGGATGCGTCTTCCACACGCCGACAGGGTCGGCATATATATATATATATATATATACACGCAGATTTTTATATGAACAACATCGGACATCAACGATGTGGGCCTCTTGGGCCTCTGGGAAGCTTCAGACTGCTGCAGAATTGCCCAGGATGGCCTCGGGGCCGGCCAAGACAACCCGAAAACAGCCCAGGATGGCCCATCCAGGGCTCATGATGCCCTCCAGACAGCCCAAAAGGGCCCAAGAGCGCCCACGACAGCGCCTCCAGAGACCATACTCATGGATTTGCCAATGGTTTTTGATGGATCTTGTCGTTCTCGCCTGCTTCGACTGCCCAAAACCGACGACGGCCGACGCAGCAGCCAAAATTGCCCCAGGAAGGCCCCAAAAACACCCGGAAAAGAGACCCAAAACAACCCCAGACCAACCAGAGACGGCCCCCAACGCGGTCCAGACGGCCCAAGAGGACCCCAAAAACGCCCCAAAGCGGCGCGAGAAACCCCCAAGACGGCCTTTGGAGGTGTCAGACGGGCTCCAAACCCGCCAAGGCGGCCCCCAAACGGACCGACATGGCCCCGCGAGGCCCTACAAAACCGCTGAAAAACCTCCGAAATTCCAAGCGTTCCCAAAAAACACTCCCTGAGGTGCGCGAGAACACCCTTGCGCATCGTACGGAAACCTTCATCAAACAGCTCCATAAGCTGGTCCTCCGTGCATGTGCGACGCTTGTACCAGCGGTCCTTCGACAAAACGCTGAAATGCTGCAACTAGCTCAACGCGCGCGGCGAGGTCCAGCGCACCTCTTCCACTCAGGTGCTTCACTTCGCTGCAGGGCTGGGCACGGGAGTGGTCCCTGAGACGGCTCTCGAAGGATCCATGCGACCCTGGCGCGCCCGAGTGCCTGGGTTCTCCCAAAAAGTCATGCAAGTCTCATGAAGTCGATGCCTACAACAAACGCCGAACACCTTCCAAATCGGACCAAACGCCCGCGCTCTCCGCAATCCGGACGTGCACCCCGCGAAGCGAGAGGAATAACAGTTTGCAGCGGCTTTGGGGATTCGTATGGTTGAAGTGCCAGAAATTATGGTTTGGCGCGGTTCTCGTCAGGACGTTGCGTTGAAATCCAAGGGGTGGCATTCTGGCACAAATCAAGATCGTCAGGACGCAACTGTCAAATTGATTCGCGGCGTTGAAATCCCAGGAGAATTGTTTTGGCACGACGGAGGGTTCCCACGCGGTTGTCTTCCAACGGGGGGGACTTCCCGCAGCGAATACAATGTTTGGAAAGGGGCCTGTGAAGAGGGAACTTGGAGAGAACATGTATTGCAACATCGCTGATGCGTCGGATGTTTACACTGGTCCACCTCTCCTCAACATCTTCTTTTGCTCAATCCTCCGCAACGTCCCGGCGCGCGCTCCCGCGCGCGTTGGGGGAGGGGGTGGAACTCCTCAGTACGAGTCAACACCACTTTTAGGTTCCATGGGGCCTTCAATGTAATCCACTCGATACAAGCGAAAGAATGACACAATGATGCACGAGCCCCTCCTGAAACCGGCAACCCGTATTATTTGCCAGCGCCTTGACTGTACATCAATAGCAATGTGAATAGAGATCAGCAGTAACGGCCATTCCTGGTAAGCGGGCGCCATCTCGATCAACCGGCTGGGGCGTGTAGCCCGCACGATAATCGATCGGATTGGTTCTATGGCGCAGCAGCGAGACTAAACCGAGCCGTGGACGAACCTTCGAGACAAGAACAAAAACATGAGGGCGAACGTAGAGATGTGCGGCACCGATTCCCCAGCGACGACAACTCTCGCGCGTTCCTGGGTCACCAGTCTTCGCGCATCGCACCGCGCAAAACGCGCGGTTCTCTTCGCGATAATGCCCCTATCCCACTCATCGGGGAGACGTAAGACTCGGGTGCGGGAGACTCGGGTTGGCCTGACGAGGCCATCATAAAAGTGACGAGACCCAATATGAAATTCGACGCGAGCTCCCGCTGCAAACACCCCACGAAAACTGGGGCGTCCAAATCCAAGACGCGCTCGCCCAAAAACGCCGGCAAACCCGAGCTCCGGCCTACTCAAGCCTTGCGTCTCCCCGAGCTGAGAGGGGCCCCCTCGGCCGCCAGCCGCAGCCTCCTCCGCGCCCCTGGCGGGTGCCCTGGGCGCCTCCCCCCACCCTTTCCCACCCACCCGCGTGCCTGCAGCCGTCCCCGCCCGCCCTGGCAGGGACAGGGACGAGGCGGACACGGGGCGCCCCGTGGAGGCCACGAGGGCCCGAGGCTGCAGGGCACCGCCCCTCGCGAGCCACGGGGAGCGGGCGCGCGCGCGCGCCGAGACGGGTGGCCCCGGCCCGCCCGGCAAGGGCCACGAGGGCCCGAGGCTGCAGGATACCCCGCCTCTCGCGTGGGCCGCGAGGAGCAG